CAATGAAGTAAACCATATTTCCCTTTCTTATGCAGGCCAGAAAAATAAAGCCACATAAGAAATAACAAGGAAAGATATGACATTAAAAGTCCTAAATACTGTAGGCGCTGGATGCAATGTCCATACTGAAAATTAGTCCTAATGTGGACACTGTTTTGTTCATATTCTAAACATGTTAAGATTTCTTTTTACGCAACAAACGCTAATACTTTTTTTTACGCTTTTTTATTTTTGACGCTAATATTATTTTCCGTAAGTCAAAAGCAGTAGGCCACACTCAGTAGGCATCGATTAGCACTTTGGCAGTGGGTAATTTCGAATATTGTCCAAATTTCGTCAAATTCATAGGTGGCAACTAAAGCCGGCACCGGCCTGCAGTCGACTCCCCATTCCCCCTGTTTACACATGCGGGAGCTCATGAAACGCTCGAGTGAGAGTTCCTTTTCGAAGACGAGTACTTCCAATGAGTATTTCCTCTTCGTGAGAGTGCGCAAAAGCACCGAGTGGCAATCTCTCCCGTATTGCCTTCATGGAAGTGTACTCTCATGCGTAAATCCTCTCTTACAAGAATGGCCTCGCTAGGGATAATTGTCGTACGCCCTGTAAATTTTTATGGCCCCAATGGAATCCGTTGAGAGTCTCTACCTGCAGGGCGGGAAGCGAAAATCGAAGGCGCCCATCATCGTCTTTCCATGTGGCCGAGGCAGTGGACATGGGTTGCACGAGGGGTCCATCGTAGGCCATGAGAGCGCTGAGCCATGTTTTGCTCAAGCCCTTCGTAGCTGGGTTGAATGATAGTTCTGCCTATTTGTAGGCTCTGTTAATGTCAGAGCAGCGGCTTCTTTTCATTCCATTACAAACCAACAGGTTGAAGCTTTGTCGTAGACGCTAACGCGGCGCCTAGGCTTAGACTGAGCAGATTGTCAAGGTTTCGTCGAAGCCTAATGTTATGTAGGACGCCTTGCACAGTCAGTAGTCTAGGCCTACGCTAGGCGTAACGTTAGATATAGATACGTTGTTCGTATAACAGGTAGTCAAACTGTAAGATGGGCTTTTTGCGTAACTACAGAAAGCCTAAATAATAGGGAAATCTGACTTAACAAATAGATACACATTCTCTTGGCCCTTGTCCAAGGAAATGGCACATGATACAGCTTTCTTGCAGCTGGAACACTTGAATTCTGGTGGGTATGGTGGTTATGTTGAAGATCACAGGTCAGTGTTTGATGTTCTGCATCAGCGTTGCTTCAGAATGAATTTGTTTCTTCACCATTTCCTTCAAAGACTTTACTTTTTAAAGTTATATGTGTGAGATTCATGCCAACCATCCTAAAATGCAATGAAGTAAACCATATTTCCCTTTCTTATGCAGGCCAGAAAAATAAAGCCACATAAGAAATAACAAGGAAAGATATGACATTAAAAGTCCTAAATACTGTAGGCATTGAGCACATTCTTAACAGTCATACTACAAGTTTTAATAATATTTAAGTGGCTGTACTTAATGGTTCAGGAAATCAGGAAGAGATAGAAATGTAATATCATTCTGATCACTGCCATTTAGGTTAGCTATTAAGACTAAATTGTATTTGCCTTTTCCATTGCCTAGTTCTTTTGTTAGTGACCAAGGAGTGAGAAAATGAGACTATTTTGCATTATGATAGGTCAGTTGGGTTACAAATGAATCGCAAAAGGCTATGCATGTTTTCCAACTCAACTGACACATTATTTCCTAAAATATGTTAGTTTTGTCTTCAGTCATTGGAATCCATATTATGATGTCTTTGCCAAACTCATATTTTGACAAGGAGGAATAATAATAGGGATGTTATTCAAAGTCTTTCTAGCTTATGTGGAAAATCTCTGTATTTGCCAATATGGAATGCAACTCAAAGGAGGAAGGAAGGGATGCTCTTCAGACCTCCCAAATGCTCACTTGTTTTCATCTGAGTGAAACTCTATTTTTCATAGTCATGGTTCCTTGAATTCACAGAAATAAAATGAATGCAAACTTGTGTTACTACCCTGTAACTCTCAGTTTATTGTATCAGAAAGATCAAGCTTGGTGGTGAGTGAGCAAAGTTGAAGTGATATTTTTTCATGGTGCTTCTTTTTTGCCCTCCAGGCTACTTCCAAGAATAATATGGCAGCAATATTAGGAAACTTTATTCTTCATGAATTTGTACTTCCCAGTCATATTGCACTTGAATACCTAACTATAGTTGATTGACATAAAGTGCTGTTGTGATGTGTGCCTCAATACCACAGCCACTTGGGATCCTTCCTTGAACTGGAGTGTGTGGTCATAGGGATAAGGGGTAATTGCATCAAACCATGTAAGTAGAACATTGAAGGCATATATTGGGTGGCCCAAGAAATGCATCCTGTTTCATGATTTCTCTCCCTTAGCACCATAAATGCAAATTTTTATGCCAGTTCCCATTGTAGTATTTGGTGAAGCATCAATTCTATTGCTACAATGTACAACAGTCATACTATTCTAAATTCTGTTAAATACTATGACAAGGACATGGCATAAAAAGCAGTCTTTATGGTGTCAAGTGAGAGAAATCCTTCAAGCAGTGCTGAAACTCCATCCACCTTATGCATGGTATAGGTGGTATAGTATAGGTACATTTTATGACTCTACTTTGAAGGACTGTCAATTTTTATTCAGATAACCTAGGTACATGAAACTTTCAGAAAACAAGTTTTTTGGCATTTCCACAAACATCACAAACCTAGATCATCCACAGTGGGTTTTATGACATGTCAATTCGGAGGCTTTTTTTTGGGGCCACCTGATATTCCTATTTATATTATTTGCTACCTTTCCTTCACCTTTGAAAAAAATACAGTATATCCACATGGCAGCTCTGATCAATTTTTGACTCACAACCTGTATTTGCCCCTGCCAAGTTGGTGCAACTTGATGGAGTTGAGGAGAAGAGATTTTTATTAATAGGTATCCCAACTTAATATAAATTAGAGGTTGTGGTTAACTTTTCAACATGGTCCATTATGTGTAAGAGAAGTTTTATTCTTTAAGTCTGTGACACCTTTTTCGACATCAACTCTGAAACTACAAATTGATGTCAGGCTTATAACTTTATCTTTGTCCTTTAGACAGAGAGTGTGTTTCTATATATCATGGCAAAGAATGTCCCCAATGTGACCACTTTCCGAGAGAACACCATAAAGCTTCTTGCTGTTCATCCAGATGGAATTCCTATGATTGACTTTCTAGATCTATATAGGGTGAGTTGGATGTTGGGATTCACTTTCTAGTTCACATAACATGCTTCTCCTTGTACCATGTACCATGATCAAGTGTTTTATCCTTGAGCTCATTGAATTTTTGCAGAAAAATACAGGACAGGAGATTTTCCCTGGCTTACTGATGAGCCTTTTGAATGCCCTCATTCCAGAAGTGATTGAAACACGGTTCACATTTGAGGGAATGATGATTTTTCCTTCAAATCATCTTTCAGTAGCAACAGTATCAAAAGTATTCAAGGTAGTCTTGTCAAATGATCTCCTTATTTTGATAATAGGAAATAGTAGAGGTGTGTTGGAGCCTGTTTATCTGCCCTTTGAATATTTATGTTTCAGGAGAAGGAGGTGAGATTTCCTAATGTTGGTCCTCCAGTTCCAATGGAAGCAATTGGCCCAGAGGAGAAGTATGAGCGGCAGACTTTCAATGTGAAGTTTGGCGAATACTTTGGGGCACATATTGGAGAGATATACTCCCCAGACAGATTCTATTTCCAATTCCAGAATTTCCACATAGAAGAGCTGGACAGGGTCACTGATCTGATGGAGTGAGTATATTCTTGAATTTAGAATATCAGCAATACAATTTTAGGGGAATGCAACAGACTGATAATGAACAAGACTGAAAATGAACAATCAGTCTAGAGTGTACTTGTGAGTGGAGGGTGGAGGGCACATTAAATTGCTGGGAAAACTGCAATAGGAGGAGCTATTGAGTGGCATAAAAAAAAAACATGCTGCTTGATGCCTTATGGCTGTGGAATTTCTTTTTTTGTACTTTTTTTTGGTATCATATTGAAAATACTACAAGAAAAATGAATGAACAATGCATTAAGAATGTAGTGGTGAGAAGCAGGCTTTTTAGCATATAAGGGACACCTCAATAGAGTGATGCTAAAGCATGGATACTAGGGAAAGTAGTAGTTTCAAAGTTTCAATGACTCACTTTTTTACCCAAAAAACCTAGAGACTTCAAACCTTTCATAAATTAGGTATTAGAGTGTTTTCTGTGTGACAAAAGAAGAGACAAATGTAGGATTCCTACAATAGGCATTATAAAGCCTCAAACAAGATTTTTTTTGCATCATTCAATATAATAACCAGGACTATAAAAAAGAATGTGAATATTCTCCTTCTTAATGGGAATATCTTCCATGAAAAATAAAACACGGAGAAGGAAATTATCTTGAAAATATGTATTGAACCATGAGTTAATAATTGCACTTACCAAAACCATCAGCATTTTTTTTTTACTCAACCATATTTGGATGAATCTATCCATCTTGCATTCTTGAAAAATTGTTAATCATCATTTTTGGTTTTATGGAGTATATATATATAAGTGTTAATGGAGAAGCTGAAGAAGTTTGGAATGGATTGTCATTTTAAGGGAATTACAAATTTAATTCAAAATTTTCTGTGGTACCTGGTGTGCAGTTGGAGTGGTCAGATGTATTGATATTTCATTGAAGTCTATCATTATTGGCTTCCCTATCAAATTAAAATCCTCATCCCCAAGGATAAGACATGCATTCTTATGGTTGGCAGTTATTACTTTTAGATTCTATGAGAGCAAATCTTTTGATAAATTATTCATCATAAATGGGTCACATGCATATGTTCTGCCCATTTCTCATGTGTCCTGATAGAATTGTGTTCATTATGAAATATAGAGGAGAATGAAATTCTCAGGACAGGGTCTGACATTTCAGTGGAGGTAACTTGCACAACGAGAAGATTAACAGCAAAATTAATTAATTTGATTGCTTGTAAATCAGGACCAATTAACACATGCTCTTCTAATTTGGAATATAAATATATTTCTATCTTGATTTGATGCAATTTATTTAAGGAAATGCAGCAAATAGTTTGCATTCAATTTTTTTTTGCTTTTTCAATTTTTATCACATTATTTAGTTTAAGATAAACTGCTAGGATCGGTCTGTAACAAAACCCTGAAAATCAAAACCTCAAAGGAACTGAAATGGGGAATGCAGCATAATGGCGAATGGCACGAAACATTGAAGGGGACAAAACCTTGAATGCAACAGAAGGTGGAAAAAGACAGAAAACGTAGAACTTTCACTTCCAGACTGAGACCGCTGCGCGCAGCCATTTCTTCTTTCTCCTTTCAATGTCAAATCAATTTCAAATGATGAGGATTTTTCTCTTTCCATGCCCATGATTGTTGTGTTGGACTTTGAACTCATTCAGGATGTCCTCAGGGCCTACAGTTTTCTTCTTCCACAAATTCCTGAATATGGAATGGAGATTGCAACTCACTTCTGTGAATTTTACATTGATGGCAGGCACATGCGAGGCTGTCCTCGCATTCCGCTTTCCCCCTTCAGCATGTGGAATGTCCATGAGGCTTCGATAAGCAAAGATCCTTGAATGAACAATTTGGTCAAAGGATGAAATCGCAGGTTCTCATCACTCTTGCCATCAGATCATCCAAATTTGTGGACCTTCTTGGAAATCCTCCACCAGGAGCAGAGTATGTTGGAACAGGAAAGAGAATGACTCTTCATGGGGCATGAACTGAGGCACAGACAGAAGGACATTCAGCATGACTGCAGGATTCAGAAAGTTTGTAGCGACTATGCCAGCAGACATGGCTTGGACTATCTCAGAAGTATTGTGCATAATCTGGAGTTTTGAACCCCTCCTTTTGCTTTCAGATAAACACCTTGACATGGAAAAAATAAAGTGTCTTTTGACTTCTTGACAATTCAAGTTTTGTCGTAGTGCATTCAAGATACTGATACATTCGAGGTTTCAGCTTTCTTTGTTTTGTCATGCTTCGGCTAGGATAAACCTTCAAGTGGTGGCAAGCTAAGTTGACAGCATTTATCAAAGCCCATCACCAAAACTTTACTTTCAGTATTGATAGGTATTTTATATCCAAACTATATTTAAAACAATTTTGCTTTTGGATAAAATGCATTCAATAATGTGAGAAAAAGAGGATATTTATATTACCTTGTAAAAGTTAATACTTCTGGTGCCACTGTGATTTTTCCTTCATGGAAAAAAAAAAAAACTGTTTACAAACTACTTGTTTGTTGCCTTGAATTCCATTAAGGACAAACCATTAATTTTTCTGGTGTGAGTGCATTTGAAGTAATATGGATGTAGCAATTGAATTAAAATGGGTGAATTTTTTTTTTGAACCCACCCTTTAGATGCAAGTTTCAGAATTACTTCTTCTCCTTACCAGCCATTTTGAGGGTCAAGAGAGACTAATTTTCTGCCCTAAATAAATAAAAAAAAGTTATTATTTTCCATGTTATATACAAGTGTTGCAGTTATCTGAAGAAGTGTTGAATTGTCTGTTGGGGACACATTACTACTCCACATTCTGCCTTTGCCCTGTTTCTTACCCACTGTCAGCATACATTCAATGTTATTTTCAATAGAGAAAATATATTTATGCATGCTTTTTTGGGCAAATTCTTTGATTTGATGTTGCCTCCATTTCTCTGTTAGCCATGAGTTTCTGTATGTTCTGCTGCTAGTGTAACGTATGGAAGTGGAGCTGGCACAAAGTACAAGATTCCTGAGCAGTACATACAGCCAGAACAAGTTGTTGCTGCTGTGTATTACCCTGAGAAGACATGGCATCGGGGAATCATTCGTAGAGTCCGTGAAGATGGTGCTGTGGATGTAAGTTGCACTCTTCAGGTGGATGCCTGTTTTTCTTTGATCTTAAATGTTTGTATTCTTGGTATCATATGGTATCCACTAAGATAATAAAATAGAGAATGATGTTTCCCTTTTTGATAACTTTTATTTTCAGGTGCTTTTTGTGGATTATGGTGCAACTGTCAAGATAAACAGGACTGACTTGAGATGGCTCTTGAGGAGGTTTATGAAGATCCCCGCTCAAGCATTCAGGGCAAGGTTGGCACACATCTGCCCTCCTGATGGTGCATCAAAGTGGCCCAAAGAGTCCTCAGAGCGATTCCTCACCTTGGTCAAGGGCAAAGTGTTGTGTGCCCAGCTTGTGAAAAATACCAGCTCTGTGAGTATCCAATGACATGATTTTTTTTCTTTCAAGTAAGGTGATGAATGTAGCAAAGATGAACTTTGGAAATTCCTTATCAGGACCAATTAAAGACTTTCATGCTATTAATGATGGTACAGGTTTTTACTAGGGCTGTCACGATAGGTCGATGCATCGATACCGCTATCGATAGTTGGAGATATCGATAGAATTTTCGACCATCGCGATGTATCGGCAAAAGATTTTAAAGGGGAAATGTCCCATTGGATTGAGGCGAGTACAGTTCAATACAGTCCGTCCCGGCGGGGAAAGGAAGAAGCGGCGTGACCCGAATGGGCTTGCGATTTCTTATCACAATCAAATTCCGGAAATGCTGGGACTGACTATATGAAAGACGGGAAGGGGAAAGAAAGTCGGATCGGAGACAGGAAGTGGGAAAGGAGAGGGGGGAAGACCGAGAATATTATTTTTTAACGTCAGTTTCAGTCTCTGGCTCGATCTCATGAGGTGCATGCTGCAGAAGTGGACTGTTCTTATACTTTCCTTTATTTCGATACGGACATTGGTTAATCCTCTCTCTATATTCCTGTCTATCACTTTAGCATGCAGGCTTAACTTTCTTAATTCTTAACTTGCCTTAGGGTGTTTTATACTTGGGGCGTTTTTCTACTTGAGGTGAAATCGAAGTGAATGTGGACGTTGCTTATTCTGGGGTTGTACCGATGTTTCGGCAACCGTCGGTTTGGCACCATCAGCAGGTTTCCTATCTGTCGGCGCCGATGTCCAAAGACAGTGTAGAACGAAGAAAATTAGGGCTGCCCTGATGCATCCATCGATGGATGGATGTCATCTTCGATGGTTGGATGCATGGGTGATATGGT